AGTTGTACTGACGCCTTTGTTTGGTCTTCTGATCCCTCTCGTTTACATTGACACTAGAATATTGTTTGAAATAATATCAAAATGATATCGCTCTATACATCAACTAAAAAAAAAATACTACTGAAAGATAATTTCTTCACGAAAACAAAAACTTTATTGATAAAAAAAAAAACAGTCAAAATAAAAATAAATAATTTTATTTAAGCGGATGAGGAAGTTGAGGGCATCATAAACTTCTCTGAAAGTGCATAGAGAAGTTAACTTCCTCATCGAGCAATTTTTCACAAAAAAAATTATGAACAAAAGTATCTTGATTAGAAATTGTCAATAAACAATGTTCATTGCCTTTATAACCATTATGAGATAATTTTGAAAATTATATTTTAATTAAATAATGAATCCATTACTTAATAAACCAAGAAACGAAGCGCCGATACTGAAGCCATTTGCAAAGGCACGCAAACCAATATTCGCGAGATTAGCTCCTCTTTCAAAACTATTCCAATAATTCATCCCCCCGTATTGTGTCCTAAGGTAATTAGTTCCATTATAGAGTCCCTGGCTATATGCTCCTGAATATCAAAAAGAAAATAAAAATAGTATTCAAAAGATTTTTCCAACTCGAAATAATTCACATACCTGGGTAACCATATCCATAATAAGCTCCATTGTAATTGGCATATGGATAATTAGAATATAATGAATGAGTTCTCATTGTCTGTTACGACAAATTTTGATAATCGAAATTTCTAGATGAGTATTGAATTGTGCGAATGCAATCACTTTTTTCGAATATTTATATGCCGAAAAAGAGAGCCTCGTCATTTTTCAATCATTCAGCACAATGATATTGAAACAACGTAGATTTGTCTTTGATCATAATGTTTGTGTATTGTTGAACTCCTACGCCTTTATTTGTGTCATTTCGGAAGTGAATAATCGTGTGTATAATTACGACTGTACATAACACAATTACTTTTTCTCTTTCCTTGGGATGGAAAAAAATTATGACTTACCTTTGTCTTGTATTTCGTTATAATAATATTGACTGAGAGTTGGATTTTTTAAAAATATTATAAACTGAATGAAAAATATATTTGCACGTTGTATTTAATGGTAATTAGAAAAGAACTCTTCAGAAAAAAATGCTTGAGGTACGAAATGGTGTTATTGCATATTAAGGCAAATAATATCTCAATGATAGTTCGAAACCACTGATTCAACTTAAATTTTTATCTCAATTTCACACGAATAAACGAAAACAAACATCTTGAAAAAAAGAATAAAAAAAACTCATCTTTGAATTCAATATCAAATCATTTATTTACATTAGTTGCATTCAACACGTAAGTGATGAATAATAATAATAATCCTTTTAGTCGATACAATAGAGAAACATGTAATAAAACCAGTGTCTTCGTTTATACTCTGCTTACTTAGTGAATAACTTTTTTATTTCCTGTCACTTACAGTTCGAAGTCTTTGATCTTTTCTCATGTGTTTTACGTCGACTTGTCCTCAATTTTCGTGTTTTTTTCGTTAATTATGTATAGAAAACTGTTCAATGTATTGAAAGATTTAAAATAAAACTGAAGTAAAATTAACTTTAGATGGAAAACAAATCCATGAAAATTTAACTTACATTCAAATATGAAGGGTGTCACTCGACGATGTGGGTGTGAGTTGAAGTTTTCTATTTACATTCCTTAACCTATCAACACCTAGATGACAGATTTCAAAAGACCTAATCCTAGGAAAATCTTGGATGCGTTAGGAAAGAATGAGATTAATAGAGTGAGTTTCTTGTTGAAGCTCTAGGTCATACACATTGCCAGTCACAATCTAACATTAGTCCAATCATGATCGTTATAAGGCTTTCAGCTATGACAACGTCGATGTTGAAGAGTGTGGGTTTGGATCTAAGTACTCATTTCCTTTTTATGCATCAACACCTATTCTAGCCCAAACATAGATCTAATACTCATAATAAAATACAATAATGATATCGATTATAAACAAATTAAATGAAACATAATCAAAAGGAAATGTTTGCATAAATAAGACAATTAAAAAAATAACTACTGAAATTTAATAGTAGCACAAAACTTTAAAACAATGATTCATAGACAAAAGTGAACAATTAAGCAATATTCATTGTCTTCCTCATCATGATGGAGATATTTGTCCAAAGTGTATATTGATTATTTTTACATCCAAAACGTGTAAGACAAGAGATACAATCGAAGCGCTGACTTTTGCAAAACACCTGAAAAACAGTAATTAAACGAATGTTGATGAATCTGCCTATTGTTTCAACAATAGTTAAGTTGTCAATCCCATCGATTTTCGTCATGCCACTAAAAATTCTTCTAAAGAAACTTGTATCATACGAAATTCCTTATACTTGAATCATGATGACCATAATCGAATAAAATATTTGTGGGTTTTGTCCCATTATTCGAATATTGGCAAAACAACCATCATATACTTTTATTTTATTCATGGCGTCATTTGTCACGTGTATTATCGCATTTTTTACATTGCATTCTTAACCGTTTGCTTCTTCTGCAATGAAAAAATACAAAGATATGACTTACCTTTATCTATGACTTGATAATAATATACAATGAAAAATAGTATTGTTGTGAAATAACATAGACTGAATGAAACAATATATTGATAGATTTCATTTCGGATTGATTACAAAATAAAAAAATTGTACAAGAAATGGAATTTCTGTATGCTAACAAAATAGTTGTTAATTATCAATTAAAGATTAATGATTTAAATTAAAGTATTGTTTAAAGCTTAATCATATAAACGAAGACAAATAGTATGAAGATTACAATATAAATCTCATCATATGATTCAACATCGATCGTCATTGATTTACACTGATAATATCCAATACATTGCAGTCAATGGAGAATTTATAAAAACTCTTTCCTTTATATAACAAAGACACATCTCATAAAACAATATTTTTATTTATATTCTACATTTAAACTAAATAATTTTATTCTCTCGTATCACTGAAATCTCCAATTCTTTGACAATTTTCAACGACGGAATAGATCCTTGCTCTTTTCTCATGTGTGTTGCGTCAAGATGTCTTTAATTTTTGAGTTTTTTCTATCGGAAACTGTTCAATAAGTTGGAAAAAAATTGAGAAACAAATACATGAAAACTTGAACATCAACCTAAACCGTCTCCATGAACACATTGATATGCAATTGTAAGAGTGAATCAATAGTTGTTGCAGTGAGTTCTTAAATATATGGAGAAAGGAGTTTAATGCTACGTCTTCCTATCCTAAATTAAATTTGAACGAAAACTTTACAATGAAGAATATTCATTTTCAGTTTTGACAAAGGTTAAATCTAAAGGTCACAGAAATTATCGATATCAATTCATTATTTTTGGCAGCAATCGACATCGGTCCCTTAGCTCAGCCGGTTAGAGCGCCGTGCTAATAACGCGGAGGTCATGAGTTCGATCCTCATAGGGACCAGATTTTGTTTTTGGAAATATAATTACGCAAGATTACGTTATTCTTTCAATAACGAAAAAAAAACAGAACACAACAACATACATCTACTTCCTTTGTCTACATTTATTTGACTCAGAAATAAGTTGAGGCTTTTTCCTACAATTGTGACTAATTATATCCAATTTCACATTTTACTTATTCGTTTTTCATGGATCATATTCTAAGTTGGAAGGAAATAGCTGAAAAACTTGATTAATGATATTTTGCTTTCTGAATTTTTTTTTCATTGTTTCTGATCAAAGATCTATGATGTAAATCTATTTTGTTCATCTTTTCCGTATTATTTTTTAGATGAGTTGTTCCTGCATTTTTCTTCTGATCAGCTGATCCTTCTCATAAATGTAATATTTATGCATTCATCAGTGATTTTAAAAATAGCTTCAGCTGAATATTTTCTTCTAGAAATGAAATGCTTGTATTATAGGCTGTTCAATCATGTTGCACATTAGTTTCATAACTAATCGACCGCAAAAAAAATAAGAGAGTAAATAAATAAATAGAGCATGAAATATGACAAAGAGTGAGTCATTGATATAAAATCTTAATTATTTATCAAAAAATATTCGACTCAAAATAAATATTTCATCTGACATAAAGTTATACTGAAGTAAACAATGAATTGTTAAAAAAATATTTTCAAACTTGATAATTTCAATAATAACTCTTACGTTCGATTATTATTCGAAATCGTTCATGTCACAGCAGCGACATTAACAGAAATTCGAACTGGTTTTTTAGCTTCCAATATTTATAAGTATCTCATAAAAATAAATATGATATCTCGTTTTGACAAATCCAACGAGAATTTTCAGATTAATCGATGAAGAGTATCTCGTTAGTTATAAGATAATTGCCATTGAATCAGACTCAGTCACTAATTTTTGGGATCAACACCATCAATAGTAATTTCATGATGGTTTTGATTAAATTTACAGTTTCATTTTGATCGATCAAATATATTCATATGAAGAAAATACCATTCAGTAAACATCAACCAGATATTCATAGACTACGCATGAATATGCACAGATTTTGAGCATTCGTTAATATTATTCCTAATAAAATCTGACTACAACAATCGATTATTTGCTATGTAAAAGTAAGTCTATGTCATTTTTGTGTAGTCCAGTGATTTATATAAAATACTCATAAGTCTATGTTCTATACAGTATTGTTATATTACGTCGATTTTATTTAGATATAAAATTAGATAACAAAAATTATCGACATACATAACGAATATTTGAGAAACCAATGAATTAATCATTATAGTTATCCCGTGTTTTTTTTTACAATTTTTTGCAAACAAATCAAACAGCTAGAGAAATCTTCATTGTTATCAAAGAAAGCGAAATATTTCTTCATTTTTATATAATATAAAAATAAAATAAAATTTTCATTATGTGTCTAAAAGCTCAAAGAAAAGAGAAAAGTTTCAGAAACAAAATCAGAAAATTTATTGTTGTTAAAATATACACTTGAAATGGGAAATGAAGATTTCTTCATGTCTATCTTATAGAATCAAAATAAATAAAAACACAGATTATACATAGTAAAAATAAACATACAGTGTTGATTATTATAGAACAAAACTCAAAGTACATATTTTTTTAAGTCTTAACTAACTTTAGTCTTTTAATTATTTATAAAAAAAAATATGATTATTTGTCTATAATCTTATGCAGATATCTTTATGATTTCAAAGCTCAATCGATTTCTAACAAGATTTCTTAGTACATTGTGTCTCATAGTTGATCTAGAAATGCTTAATTAGAGAATCTCTATTGTCCTTGGTTATGCGACACGCATATATAAATTTAAAAGTTTGCTCAAAGTACGGTTGCGAAATTTTTTTCTTGATTTGACCACACCCACACCCGTCCTCAGGCAGATTTCCTTCTTGTCGAATGATTTTCTATGTTTCTGCCGTGACTTGCAATTGTTCATGAACGTAGTTCTAGGATATTCATGATAGTTGGAAATATTCGCGCATCAAATGTTGGAATTTCCCAACATATTCTATAGGATTTTTTCAATGTGTTCACATATGTCATGTTGGTCTTTCCCAACATTCATAACTTTAGGTTTTGTGTTATAGGCTGTTTTGAAGAATATCATACTCAGAAACATTTCTGAGTGCTTCTGTATAATAATAAAGTCTAATTTCAGATTTTTTGAAAAAAAAAACAATATTTCTTGTTATTGTTCCAAAACCCCGTGACTCCAGAGGTTAACAAATCTGAAACAAAAAAATATTAAATCCCACCTGACAAATCAACGGTTTCAGATAAAAAGTCGTTTTCTTTTGCTAAAACTTCCATGGAACAAAATCGTACAAACAACTCATTAACAAAGAATAGTTTTTATTGTTCGTTATCCTATAGACACTTTTTTGCTAACATGAAAACTACAATAAGTACTTTTGCCATCGTTTATGAGTCATTCTGTAGAGAAAAACTCGTATGATTATTCGTCAAAGTACGCGAATAGTATCCATACACATTATATGACTTGAGCACTCGCATGAGTGATTCGACTACTCCTGTTTACAATTTGTATTCGCTTGATGAATATTTTCACTAGGACATATCAATTGTAAAGAAACAAATAGAGATATATTTGAAATAATATCGTAAAAGAAAAGATAACTATTCAAAAATAAATTTGTGCGCAAAACTGAATATTAGCATAAATGATTAAATTAAAAATTGATGAAGAAGGTAACTTCTTCATCAAGAAATGTTTTATATTAAAATTATAAGTTAATATCGGGACTAGAAGATCTCAGTAAACAATATTCATTGTCTTTCTAATCATAATTGTGACCATAGTCAAAAATATATATTTTAATTTAGATTCAATATATTCAAGATAAGTGATGCTATCCCAAGATCAACTCTAACAAGACCTAGACCAGTACTCACACCAAACTCCGCCACCCTGCCAGCAGTATGGAGACTACCCCTATATTCCGACACATTAGCTTCTGTCATGCCACTATAAGTGCTCTTAAAGAAACTTCTATCATATCCAGCTAAATAGCAAAAATAAAATAAAATAATTATTTAAGAATGTCTTCAAAAAAAAACAGAATGAGAATACCTGGTATGTAGGATGATTGAGTCATTTGTGGATAAACGTATCCATAATAATGTCCATAGTGATTTACATATGGATAGTTATAATATAATGGATAAGTTGTCATTGTTTGTTACGAAAAATTTTATCGATTGAAGTTCTAGTATGAATATTGACTTGTTTGATACATTTTTTCTTTTCTGCTAGATATATTTATGTGTATTGGAAATAGAAAGTTTTGTCACATGCTAATGTTCACAATCACAATAAAATAACATAGTGGTTTTCTCCAACTCGTTGTATGAATCTTGGTAAAATCCACATCATTTGCAGTCGTTCTAGTAACGAAGTGTGACGAAATCACATCTATAATCACGAAAGTACATCACATAATTAATATTTTGCTTTTTTTTCAAATACATTACTCACCTTTGTATATGATCTGATAATAATCTCGAATAGTAACCATGTTTATTAGAAATAACTCTGAATGCATCAAAAATAAATTTGTACATTTGATGAAATGTTTATTTGAAAAAGAAATCTTTTCAAAAGCAAAATCGATGAACAAAATTGTGTTTTTCTATGTTAACAGAATAATTGTTGGATATCAATTAAAAATTATAAATTAAAATTCAAAATGGAATTATTTATTCATATGAATATTATCAACTAGAGAAATCATAAATCAAAACAAAATTAATTTTAATCAAGACAGGAGATTAAAAAAAAAATCTTCGTTCAATATAACAGAAAGACGTCTAATAATGAGAATGCATTTATTTACACTCTACATTTGAGAGTTTACTAAAAAAGTAAATCCATGCAAAATTTGAATCTCATTGTAATATGAAATGTGTCACTTGAGGATGTATACAATCAAACTGACATGGTGAATATCGAAAGAGCTTATATTCTAAGGGAATAATGAATGTGATAGAAGTGTGTGAGACAGTTCAAGTGAAATTGTTTTTGAGACTTTGAGTCATTCTCAATGACATCTATTCTCTAACATTAGTCCAATGATGATCTTCAACAAGATTCTCAGCTGTGATACATGCAATACATGACATTAGAATAGTATGTAGTATGGAATTAGTCTTTAGTGCAATGCATTGATATAACTTCTTCCCATCAATGATTGAAATTGAATCTCAAGGTCACAGGAATTATCAACATCAATCCACGTTTTTTGGTAGCAATCGACATCGGTCCCTTAGCTCAGCCGGTTAGAGCGCCGTGCTAATAACGCGGAGGTCATGAGTTCGATCCTCATAGGGACCAGATTTTTATTTTTGGAAATATAATTACGCAAGATTACATTATTCTTTCAACAACGAAAAAAAAACAGAACACAACAACATACATCTACTTCCTTTGTCTACATTTATTTGACTCAGAAACAAATTGAGTTTTTCACAAAATTGTGACTATTTATATCCAATTTCATATTTGACTTAATTCTTTTCCGTGAATGATTTGCTACTTTGGAAGGAATTAGTTAAAAAATCCGTTTAACTAATAAAATTGAGCTTTTTAAATTATTTTTTTCTATTATTTCCGATCAAAGGTATATATTCTTCTTGTCATAAATGAAATAGGTGTGCCTTCATCAGTAATTTAAAAACCTGGTCTAGTTAAAGCTGACTGATTTGATAAAGATAATACATTTGCTCGAATGCTAGAAGGCCTTACGCTGTTAAACATTGACCTTTATTGTGTTTTCTTCTAACTGAGACTATTACAAGCTCTCAGCTGATAATATAGTTTTTTTTTTCTAACGGAATAGAACAAGCGCGATTGAAAATGGCATCTTAGATTCATTTGAAAAAAATAGCTTGTAACACATTTTCGTGGTTAGAAGCATCAATTATTGTACTCTGGTATTCGATATTGAAACAGCAATAACTTTATTCTTCAACTAATTCTTCTTCACTATTCATCAAAAAATGTATTTGTATTTCTGTTCAAAAACAGCATTTTTACATGATTGATTACGTGCTTTTTGTCATGTCAGGATGCATCTATCAGATGAAATTTGTTCAAAATGATTAGTGTGCGACCTTTTAAACGAAGAGATCTATGCAATACATCAAAAAATTTATCATTCCAATTCTGTTTGAAATAAATATTAATAGTATAAATAATAAAGCATTTATACTCTCGCTCAGTCACTACATTCAATCATATATTTTGTCAATATAGTTTCTATAATTTACTAACTTGCCTCAAAAGTATATATATCAAGCTAGTTTGAAGTGCAATTGACGAAAGAAAAGATTTATTAAACGTCTTTCTATAGAGATCAACTTAATATGAATGCACTTATACACAATAATGTAAGTCAAGAACATAGTTCGCAACTATTTGTGAAGAAAATGTTAATATTAATGAAATATCGCTTCAAGCAAACTTCATATTCAGTTGTACTGCCAATGGTCAATCATGGCTAACTAAGAAATCAACAACACTTTAAAGTCAACTTTTCTAATTTGTTCATTTAATGAATATATTATAATAGACAAGAAAAATAATTTTTTTTGCTATATGAGAATGTATATAGTATAATGAATTGTTTGGCAACATGAATCGAAATATTATAAACTCACAAAAATTGATGCTAGTCTGGATGATTTAGATTAAAATAATTCATCATAAACCTTGTATCTTTAGTCTTCAATAAGAAAAAACACGAGTAAGACAAATTTGGATAAGAAAATTAGATTCTATCATAGATATTATTTTATTATATCTTTTATTGATAGTTCTTCGTTATCAATTACAATTTAAATTAAAAACACACACACACATACACACATGATGCTTATCTATTTATCATATTTTCAAAATATAATGACAAAATAAACTAAATTTTTTTATTAAGTGGTACACCAAGTTGCGTTGCAGCAAGACTCATACGTCTAATTGTATCAACTTTTTCTTTAAATTCTTTTTCTTGTTCATCTTTTTCTAAACATATCGATGCAATACGATATGTTTGAAAAATTAAAATAAGAAAATTTTTAAACGTAAAGAAATATGTTAAAAATGATCGTACATGATAAACAATAATGGCAATAAGACGAATAGCAAAAAAAGGACCATCTTGTAATAATAATGTAACAAGTATTGACCAAATTTCTGAACGAAGAAGTTTTGATGATCGTTTACGTACAAAAACTTTCATGCTATCTGCTACGGATCTACGTGATGTTTGTTTAGAACGTGATGTATTCCATATTGATGAATGTAATGAATTAAGAGAACTTATTGATGGAAGATGAATCATTGGTTGACCAGGAACATATACTGGTGGATCAACTTCAGGAAATGTTGGTTTCGGAACTTAAATTAAAAACAAAAAATAAATATTCAACAGTATTATTGTACTTTTTTGAAACATTGATCTAAAAGAAATTCTGAAGTGTATATTGACTAGAAATGTATGCTGTCGCCTTCTCTTTCTTCATAGACTAGATCTGATAGACATTCTTATCAGTATTTCTTCTTTATCACAAATTATAATATCATCTGTACATATGTTTAAATTTTCAAAAGTTTCTTTTTTCTTTTTTTAAATAAGTGAAGTTTAATTATACGTACTGATAACATTTCTATTCACTTTCATTTCACAATCACTGCTTCTATCAACATTTTCAATGATTGTATCTGGTGGATTAAAACCACAAATTGATGATGCACGTGGTTTAACACGTACAGTTTGATATGTTGTTGTTGTTGCCAATGGTCGAGTTGTTGATGAAACTCCTGGTATAAATTTATCTAAAATTTTATGATGTGCTGGTACAAATTTTGATATTGATGATGGATGTACTGGTTGATGTATTTCTATTTCTGTATCATCAAATTCAGCATAAAATGAACGACCACGTGTAGCTGTTAAATTAAGTGCAAATTGAAACATACATAAAGAAAAAACAATAAGAACAGTATGAACCATTGATAAACTTAAATAAATTTCTTTTTCACCAAATAATGTTAATAAATCAAGTATATCCGAAGCAAGTGATAAATAGACAAGCAATAATTGAGATAAAGCACTATGAGAAATATTTCCTTTTGGTAATAACCATCGACCAAGAATAATAATAAACATAAAAGAAAGTTCAACAAGCATTGCATCTTCAATACCCCATTCTTGTATCTAAATAATAGGAAATTTTTACAATAAGAAACTTACATTGATATATATATATATATATAGAAATATTTAATGATTAGATAGTTCATGCTATCTGATTCATGCTATATCATGCTAAAATAAATGGAGTAGTAAGTGATTCTGTAATAGGTGGTAAATGACGTGTTCTTGAATAATAATGATCAAAATCAATTTGTTCATCTTGATCAATATGTTCAATACAAATTGACCATAAACGATAAAATTGTAAAAATAAAATAATAAGATTTTTACATGTAAAAAATATTGTTGTATATGAATGTACTTTAAAATGAATAACAGAAATTAAACGAATAATAACAAATGGTAAATCTTGCATTAATATTGTTATAAATATTGATGGAAGTTCACTATTAGCTAAATTTTTATATGTTGATTTAATACGTTGTGAATTAGAATATTTATTTGTTTCTAAATTAAATGTTCGACCACGTGATGAAACAAGACTAAGACTAAATTGAAATGTTGACCAAGAAAAAACAGCTAATGTTGAATAAATCATTTCAAAATTTTCTATAACTTTATCTTCTTGAAATATTGATAATAGATCAATCATATCTGATGCTAATGATAAATAAACAAGTAAAAGTTGAGAAAGAGCTGAACGACTTATTTTTCCTTTTGGTAATAACCAACGACCAATTATTATAATCATTAAAAATGTTACTTCAATAGCCACAGGCCAATCTTGTACAGTAAGTGATGGTATTTTCTAAAACATGCCAAAAAGCAAAAATATATTTATCATTACATGCACATGCAATAGAGATATCGAACGTGCTTAACAAATTATATATAAAATTTAATTTTCGAAATTAATTTCTCTTTTGTGTAAAAAGTTTCATTCAATAATCATTTTTTTCCAAAAAAACCAGTTCTTAAATCTTACAAGGAAAATTCTCCAAGTGTCAAATCACTGTTTAGTTTTTACGAGTCTTCATTCTTGAGATATTGAAATTTTACTAGATTTTGTGTCTCTAAGATAATTAGCTGTAAGGTTGCGTAAAAACAGAAGTATTATTCTTAGATATTAATAATATTTATTATCAAATATTAAATGAAAAAATTTTATTTTGATTTGAATTATTTTTAATAAAGGATACAATCGATTTTTCTTTAAAAAAAAAAGTAAATTTATTGTAAAAATTCAATAATCAAGGTCGATTACATTCCAGTTAAGTAGACTGAAAATGTCTAGATAATATATTCTTCTAGAAAATAAACAATATACAATCTTTGACATATAATAATTTTTTGCTTTTTAATATTACTAATTATATTTGTACATATAATTTATGATCAATTTGTCATGAAAAAACAAATCTTTATCTTAATAAGATATAAACTTTATCATTTCGAAGACATAATTAAAGAAAAGTTAATTAATTCTTAAGACAAATCGACATAATAGATTGATTTATTATCAAATATATACAGAAAATTATCTTTTTCTTTTTTCTCCAGATTTTTTTTATTATTAAAACCAACATTCCAAAGATTAATATTTCTCGTCGACATGTGCTTTCAAAAGAACAGACATTGGGATGTATACTGTAAGACCCGCGTAAAGAAAGAAAAAAGAAGCCCGATAGAAGAATAGAAATAATAGTAACGCACATAACAACTTATACTCGCGTGTATGCACATGTGACCTTGACAAGAATGAAAGAAAATGACAATGATCAAAAACTTCCAGCTAAAGCAACTGATGACGATATTCATAAAGTATTAGATGATGAAAAAAGTGAAAATAATAATGAAGATGAATCAAATTCATTGGTTTATTTAAAATCATCTTCAATTATATCAATTTTAATTATTGTTATTATTTTACTTATTTGTATATTAACAATAAGTTTACTTATTAAAACTATTTTATATTCACGTGGTATAACACATCGATTATCAATTTATTTTGGTTTTACATCAAATCAATCTTTTGATGAATCTATATTAACATTTTGGACACCAAAAAGTATCGACAATGAACAAACAATCGAAACAACTATTGTTACTACTAGTTCTTCGTCGTTATCTTCTTCTTCTGCCGTTCTATTAAATAATTCTGAAAAAAAAAAACAAATTATTTTTCGAAATATTATTCTTCCATCACTTTTTCTTGTATCAATTCCTTGTGGTATATTAGCTTTTTATATACGTCGTCATCTTAATCATTATCCAGCATGGGGTTCTCGACCAAAAAGAAATACTAAACAATATATTAATAAATAAATAAATTTTTATGTGAAGAAAAGTTTCTTTTTTTTTTTTTTGATTTTTTATTGTGATATCTCATGAAATAAAATAAATATATATAGATATAATCATGCATCATGCAATGATTATTTTTATTATCTCACCTTTTTTATAACTAATTCCTATAGAATTTTGTTTGTTTAAATTTTAAGTAAAAAAAAAAAAACAAAACTAAACAAACCGTTTTATCATTGAGATTAGCTTTTGATATAAGACCTCGTTCAATAAGATTTTCTAATTCATCAACTTCACTTTGATTAAGTGGTTGTTGACCAAGTTTAACATGTATTCGATTAATTTCAAGAAACCATATTGGTGGTATCATTGTACATATATAAAGGAAAAAACATGGAGAAAACCTAAAATTATTCAATAATCTTTTTTTGTTTTTTTGTAATCGAATATTTACCATTTAGGTTCTTTTCCTAAAAAAACAAATAAATAATAATATTTAATTGAAATCCTTCATTTTTTTTTTACAAATAATCAAACCTTTTCGTGTAATAACAGTAATAACAAGTTCAATAAGAAGAAAATTTACTCCACACATATTTAATAAATACCAATAATTACCTTTTGTAATAACAATACGAATAATAGCAATAGTTGCATGAAGTGCAAATATAACTCGTATTATAATGGCTTTTAATATATCAAATGAATGACATATCCAACGACCACAATCACGTAAAGTTTCTTCAGTTTTCGACATATCTTAATACGTTTTAAATTCTTCCGAAAAGAATAGAAATGAATATAATCTATTGTTTTGTCATTGAGATCAAGATAACTATAATAAGGAAGACAAAAAAAAAAAAAAAAGAAAAAAGAGATAATTGTCGCCGGAAGGTTCACGATATCTCTAGTCTTATGTATATGGAAATACAAACAAACAGCAGCAATAAGAGATTAATAATAACCCTCTAGGATCCAAATGATCTCTTTTGTCTGTCAGTAAAACAAGGGATAAAGACTAATTACTTCGAATGTCAAACAATATATAAGAAGAGACATCAGAAAATGCTTTAACCGTACTCTCTCATTTATGAGACATGCACATGAAGGATCAATTACTTTTTTATTGTCAACGAGTGGGTTCCATAACATGTCAAGGAAAAAAAAAGAAAAAAAAAAAAGCAATTCATATGCTAGGTTAACTCAAATAAAAGTAGTTCATTGATAACATTGTTTATGCAAGTGATGATAGACTGACTTACAAGAATCTAACAGAAACGATTATATCTCTTGTCAAATCATTGTATTATTATTCTTAGATTCTGGAGAATGACAAAATATGGATAACGATTCATTTTTATTTTTTTTTTCTTTGTTTCTACCATTGCTATTTATAATAATAATCGACACAATACCAATCAACAGATGCGTGCCTGAGCAGCAATCAATTAAGATAACGAATTGACATTGTCCTTTTTTCTTTTTCTTTTTATGTATGAAATAATATAGAACAAAGGCAAAGAAGAAGAACAAAAAAAAAGAAAGAATGAATTCATAATTTCAATAAATAAGCTAATGTTTTAATTTAATGATGATATTGATAAGCATATAAAAGTGATGCTTGTGAATTTTGATGTTGAACAATACGTTTACTTGCTCGAGCATAAGATGATGTTGGTGGTGTACGATAATTTGATTGACGAGGTACAGGTATTGAAACTGTTGGTGTACGTGGATTATGTGCACGATGATATTCACTTGAACGTCGACGTGGTTGTTTAGCACTACCAATACTATAACGAGCTTCAGATAAAGCACAAACTCCTGTATTTTGTTCTTTGGGTATTAATGTTGTTCTTAGTAATTGATTACAACCATAATTTTCTCTAAATATAAAAAGAAAAACAAAACAAAACAAAACAAAACAAAACAAAATGGGAAACTTGCTATTTATTTTCTTCCGATATAATAAATAAAAAAAAAAAAATGACAATATCAAATAGAATAAATATATGAACATTTCACTATTCAAAATCTTATATGGTATAATTGAATAGAGAAATGTCTTGATGACATACATAGCACTCACGCTCATTTACAATTCTGTTCATCATGCAAATATAATTTAGTCATTCGGTTTAGTTTTCGTGTAGTTTGTTTAGTTACTAGTTGTTTATAACTGTGTAGGAAGAACAACATGCGTGAAATACAATCATATCAAAGAACTATAGATTTTTTTTTTTTTTTTTTTTTATATTTTACTAGGCAACAGAAATAGTTGATGCTCGTTTGTCGCTGAAAGAAAGTTATTATAAATATATATATATATATAAAATTTAAATAATATTTAATTATATATTTTTAATATTTATTTATATAATTAAATAAATAAATAATCTACCTGCATCGAAGACAAAAATTAGTTACAAAAAGCCAATAAATAAGTGGATTAGCTAATGAATTCATATAACATAAAGATGATGTGACACGAATAAGAAGATAATTTTGAATTAAATTAAGTGAATTCATTATCATAAGAAGAAAATATGGTGACCAACATGCAGTAAAAGCTAAATAATAAATATTATTTTATATTCATTACTATTTTAATCAATAAGAATAAAATATAATAAGGAAAAATTTAAGAATAAAAACTTCAAAATAAATCTATTTTCTATGATGAAAAACTCAAGTTATAGAATTAATGGTAGGACTATTAAATTTTTTTTTTGTTAAACTTACCAATAACAATGACTAATGTCATTTTAACAGTTTTTATTTTTGCTCTTGGTATAACACCTAATGATCTTACATTACGAATACTTGATTCAATTTGATGATCACCTATGTTCGTTGCTGTTTTTTTTTTATTTTTGTAAATAAAAAAAAAAAAGAACAAAATAAAACAAAAAGAATATGAAAAATTTCTTTTTTTTTTACCATTTGAATTTGATGCTTTCGATGCAATAAGTCGACGAATTTTAGATTTTCCATTTCGTTCATGTGGTAATTCATCTTTAATTTTAACTGAACTTTTTTTCCATATAATTACAATTATAATAATATATGATACAGTCATAACAATTAATGGAACAAGATAAAGTGAAATAAATAGAAAATAAACATATGCCTAAATAACAAAAATTTCATTTTTTTTTTTGTATTGTATCACATAAAAAAAAAAAAAATTTTACATTCCAATTTTGAACATCAGATCGATTACCACATATAGGCATTCCTCGTATTGTTTCAATATCTCGTAAATATAATTGAGCAGAAGCAAATGTCATTGAAATAATCCATGATGCTTTGTAATAAAAATAAATTCATTTATTAAATTGATAAACAAATATTTTTTTTTGTGTGTGTGTCTTACCGATTATTAATGAATAACGAAATGCTATAATAAAAATAAATTCAAATAATAATTAATAAATATGAATATATACCTGAAGATGCTGTTCGTACATCCATAGGTCGAATAATTGCATATAGACGATCAATTGATACACAAACAAGTACATAACTAAATAAAAATCAGTTTTTTGTTCTTTTTATTCATATTGATAATAAAAAAATTTTCACCTTGAATTATATGCAATTGTACCCTATTTAATGAAAGAAATAAAATTTTTAAAAATATTCTTAGATACATATATATATATATAATATTTTAATTTTATACGTTCTAACAGTATGCTAATCTAGTTCTTTTTTTTTTCTTCATTTCTTAGTATTAGACCCATGCAAATTATCGAAAATATCATAGTTATATATGTTAATATAACAGAATTTATTAACATTTTTTCCCGAAAACTCAAGAGATTTATATTATCGATCACTTCTTATAAAAAAAAAATTCTCCTTAATTGAATCAATTATTATGTTATTGTAATATGAATTTAAACGATAAATACGAACTTGTATAAAACTAATCAATCGACAACCAATAGTTCCGAGTACAAATGGTATACAACTTTTTTCAATAATATCACGAGTAACAATAATAATACCAACAAATAGATCTAAATATAAAAAGAAAAAAAAAAAAAAAAGGAAAACAAGATTTCTTGTTTTTTTTATTATGTTTGTTATCTTATCAAAATTTATGTATGAATAATTAATCATTAAATGTTTAGTAATGTATGTTTATCTTGAACAACTATTATTGTTAAGATCGATCGGACATTTCTCTTTTTTTTTTTCATCTTTAAGAACGAAATACATTCGTTTGTCGTCACGTATATTAACGACTCACTCATCTGAATAATCGTTAAAATACAATTAGTTCTGATGCATTATAAATAGTATTTTCTAAGAAAATAAAAACAGTTTGTTTGTTGCACCCGTTTTCATCATAACATTTTCCGTAATTTTATATGCGTAGTATACCATCTTCCTGCATCAGATTCATGATTGAATAAGTCAAGTACTACAACTACTATTAGTCGAAAAAAAAAAACTATCGTTCGGATATGTCCATATAGACGAACGATTTCCGGCAAGAATAATAATAATAATAATAATACTAATGACAACTAACTTACCAGCATAAGCAAGATTTAATAGAAAAAAACTCATTCGACTACGACGTTTTTTGGAACAACATAATTGTAGAATAACAGATATATTTGCCGAAACAATTAATATAAATATAATACAAAGAAAAACAATAAGCTGAAAAAAAACATAATAAATATGATTTAAATTATTATACAATTTTCGAGTAATATTATATAAAAAAATAAATAAATATTTACTTACATGAAAATTTTTACAAAGATCATCTAATGATGTTTCATTAATTGATGTTATTATTGTTGTTGATTCATTTTTTAACATAATTATTGCTGTTGTTGTGGTTTCATTGAAATCCATATAACTAGTCATTGTTATGATAATTCTAATAAAAACATTACTGTCCAAGGATTTATGTTTGTATCTGTATAGATATGTTTGACACTCGTCAATCGGCAACTAACAATAAGAAATATCTATCTAGAAAAAAAAAGACAATAAAAGAAAAAGAAAAAGAAAATTTTTTCCTTTTTTTTTTTTTTAAGAATTATGAATTATTCGTGTCTATTTACTTGTCGAAAAGATTATTTCGATGAATATGAGTGATGATCATTTCCTGTACTATTGCGTTCGTTCTTATTATTATTATTTAAACTTTGTTGTATTTTCTACTAATCGAAGGTGACACAATGAACATATAAATATATATTTTACTAAGTAGAACAAGGAAATGAAAGATAGATAATATTTTTCAATACGACAACACAAGCTACATGATAGTACTAGTGTGTTTATAGCTGATTGTCTATAATCGTCTTGCTGACTGTTAGATGTTAAGATAAAGATAATATTCTAGTTTGTGTCGTTGTAGATAAATGGATAAACTTGTTGTTTTTCCTTCATATATACTAAATAGCTGAATACAAAAACAGAATGATATGACACACCGCAATACATAAATATACAACTATCAGTGACAACACAGGAAATCTCGCTGTGAAAGATGATGTCAAACGAGATACGATCATCTCTCTATATATTACTGTATTATTGCTAGATTAATCGGAGTGGCACTAGCAAACGCTCTCTTCTGTTCTTAGTTTTTTTTTTTTTTTTTTTCATCTAATCGTTTTTTTCCGTTCTCTCGATGTCTTAAATCTCTATCTTTTCGAATGTGATCAACAGCTCATGTCAACAACGCATAAAATACTAACAACAACATCAATTTTCTTATATGTCTATTTAATTTTTAGTATGTTCTATGTTAGAATTGTTAAGAAGTAACGATGTGTATATGATTTATTCCTTGTATGATGTCTTCTGTCTTTCTAAGTGTAACTAAAGACAAACACCGGGAACTTATACATATGTACTAACATACAAGAACGAGAGTATTAACACTCGTTATTTTTCTTATTCGCTATCAATGCAAAAAAAAAAAAAGTCAGACTGCAGAACGCCTCGTTTATAAAGAGATATGATGATGTGCCACAAAACAGATAAAAATCTTTTGTATTAATCAATGAAAAAAAAAAAAAGAAGAAAAAGTTTCTTTTCAGAAAACTGATGCTAATTGAATTTTCCTCTTTTGTATATTTTTTACTATCATACTTTATCTATTTCTTAATATAGTATATATATAGTTAAAAACTATGAAATTTTATAATATATATTTATAAGATCAAAAAAACAGAAAACTTACATTTTTATTTTTCTACAACATAACATGTACGTACATCGATACTCGACGAAAGAAAAATTAATAGATTAATCAGTAAGGACAGTTCTATTATGCATAAAATTGATGTATAAGACCATATGTACGATGTAGATTAGCAAATTTCTGTCTTTCTCACACAATAATAAATGCAACGTTTGTATTACTCGTATTGAAAAATCTGTTTCTATTAATCAATAGTGATCTTATAAATATGTTCTTTTTTTTTTCTCATGCCTACACAATATAAATATAAGATTATAAAAAGTATTTAGATGTTGATATGTAAACAAATGATAATGATAAAGAATAACCTACACGATATACAATAGAAAGTTGATATTATCTTTTACAGATGACAACAAAATATCAAAGAATGTCAAATTGGATATTTTTCAACAATTCATTAATAAAAAAGAAAAAACATCGTATTATTTTGTTCTGTTGATTATCTCAAGTAGATAAAATCCTGATGTAGTAGAAAAATGCAAAGTCTTATATTTTTTTCTGTTCTACTTTCTATCGACTATATTTGATTTCTTGTTTAAAGCAAATTTACTAACACATACAGTACATTTCATCATTTATTTTTGCCTATTAATAATATGTTAAGACAAGAATAAAGTATGGTTCTCACTGTATGTTAACCATACATCTGTCATTAATTTATTGATAAAAAACAGTAGAGTCTTATCGGAAAGACATATTCAATGTCTTAAAATAAATTATAATTATATTCGAACTCAAAAGTAATTTAGAAAAATTAAGAATCAGTATATGAATATAATAAACGAATGTTCATTTATTTATATTTATTAAATTATGCTTTATAATTAATCTAGAATAAATTTTATTTAAATTAGAACTAAAAATTATTTTATAAATAATATAAATTAAAGCAAAATTAAGAAGAAATGATATTCATTGACTGAATTAATATAAATACGAGTATTTAAGATTGTGTTTTTAGATTGAATACGAATAAATCATGATATAATTTCCTGTACGTCTTGAACGAGACTAGACCAGTCTTAATATAATAATGATCAGAAGCTTTGAAAAAGAAGTTACCGAGATTGCTGAAAAGGAAATTACCGGAACCATTCAGAAAAAAAGAAGTCACCACGACCGAATCCGAACTAAAGAAAAAATTTAGTTCCGTACATTTCAAGATGTGATAAATTATTGTATATTACATAGATTTTCTTTAACTTTGATTCATGTAAAGAGAGTATGAGTATTGGTCTTCTTCTTCCTGTTATCATCCACATGGACAATGATTTTCAATCGTTTACAAACGGACTGGTTCGATCTAGGGTTCTCATTTGAGATTACAAACAAAGTTTTGAACATAGTATGAAAAGAATTAAACGAAATTCGTGTAAAAACAAAATATCTAGCACTTAATGTACGTTTATATTCTGATACATATCTCTATCCGATCAGTTCAGGATGAAATGAACGGGATATTTACAAATTTTTCTATTTTTGATCCTACTTACTTACATTCGACGGAGCTAATCTTGCTTCATTCAAAATAATAAAAGAAGGTTTGCGTTGTTTTGATGAAACACATTTGGACTCAGATGCAAATTTTGACCATTGTTGTACATTTATGCCAGCTTTTATGAATATTGATAATCATGTTCGCATGAATAGGAATGCTGGCATACATGCAAAACATAATTCTATTATATGTTTGTTGATAGTATTCTTTCTATTTGTTTGTTCTTACATTCATACACTCGAACAGTTTCTGGATCAACACTCCATGGATAGAATCGTAACTTACTATGAACACTTGTAATGAAATATGATCAACTATCAGCTTATACCAAATGATCTGAAGTATTTGCATAACAAATTATTGAATATTTTCCGATAAATCTTCAAATGACATGTTTTGTTATTTCATACTTTAGTGAAGTATAATTTTTTGTTTAATACAATATCTTATAATATTATTCTATTTTTTTTTTATACGAGAGTGAATAAAATGATCATTGTGTTAGAAAAATATGAGATCTTATTTCTAATTATGTTGTATTCAATACTTTCATTTAGTTATATTTCAGACTATCAATCATAACTAAAAATTTAGGAACATTAACCCTTTATTATGATGGTTTGAAAACAAATGATGAGTTCAGTGGAGCAAGTAAACAATAATCGATTGCAACATCTCAACAACAACTATCACCAAAAATGGATGTTTCATCAATGTTAAATTTATATCAAGAAGAAAAATGTCATCGAATTGGACCTGAAAAACAAGCTGAAAGATAAAGAAAAGTCATTCAAGTAGATGATTAAATTAAAACCCATCGAAGAAGAAAACATTTTTTTCTTTTTCTCAATAGTCGTTATTGTTAATTAAACTCACATTGTTATATGATCGTTTCATAACAAAAAGTAATCTGTTTCTGTGTGTTTGATAAAACGAGGATTTTCTTTGTTCTGTTTTTATTTTCTTATAATGTGAATATTTATTATAATACTAAAAGTTTTGTAATATAAAGTACATCAATGACTTTCGAATGTCTTCTTCGAAAATGAGTTCACATCTTAAACTAAACGCACGATTGATATTGGAGAAAAAGACTTTATGCAACCTTTTAAAATATATGCAGGAATGATAATAAATACATTCATAGTATATTTTTATTAAATATAAATTTATGATCAGTAAGCTTATTTTCATTTATGATCTTTACGAAAAGATTTAATTCGTGATAAAATATAACTGTAGATGATAATCTTTTGATTGCCCATAACAAAATCTATTGCAGAAAATACTGGACAACTGTTCATTTTTCATCTGCACTAATCTTATATATTCATATCGGTTTTACTAAACAAATAGAATCATATTTCCTATGTCTACTGCTTCGTTATTATTATCGATTATCGTATAATATATCCTTCACAGATGTAAAATTTGCTTTAAAATTTCCTTCTCAATAATATAATTATATGTTGAATCCTATTCAAACCTTATAGCATCATCAATTATTTTAACCCTATTCTTTTTATTTTCATGTTATCATTTTATTGAAATGATTTATATAAGATTTATATTTATAAAGACAGAAAATATGAATAAAATCTTTGTGTACCAACAAATAGTTGATATGTAACTAATGTTCATTTCAGAGATAAGCGGCCGTGGAAATGTTTTGAATAACTTTTCATAGGAACGAGATAGAGACCTGTGGTTTTCACCGTTGGTAAGAAGAGATCAAGACGCATCAAACCATATATAGAAAGATTTTTCTAACTAGTTTTCTGAACGTTTTAGTCAAACGTTTTGAAAGAATTGCTCTTTTCTTCTACGATAAAAAAGAGATTTTTCTATTATGATATTAGAAAAGTTTACGCTTTTTGATTATTTTATTGAAAAAATGAGGTAATAAATTATGTCTTCCATGGTTTGGATATCTTACAGATAGTTGTTAGGAATAGAATCTGGATATGGTTTTGTAGCTGTTTGTTTGACATTCCTCACGCACTCCTGAAAATCAATAAATTAATATTGCCACCATGAAAGATCTGATGTTTTTCTTGAAGTTTATGTAAAACCTTTAGGAAAGTAGTTAGAAAAATCTTTCTATGTATATGATTCGAGACGTCTTCATTTCCTCTTTCCAACGGTGAAAAACGCAGGTCTCTATCTCGTTTCTATGAAAAGTTATTCAAAAAATTTCCACAGTCACTTATCTCTGAAATGGACATTCGTTGAAGATTTACCAAGTTACGATCAAATATTTTCCACAAAGGTATGACCTCTTCGTTTAATACTGAAGGAGTAATAACGGTAGTAGACACTACTACTTGTTCCATTGTAATTTCCGACAAAATATGCTAACCCAATATGGTTGTTAATTGTCTTTCTAGAAGAAGAACATGAATGATATCAAGTACAAAATAAGTAGTACTGCTGGTTTTGTTTCTTGTCTGAAAGAAAGAATAAAATAAAAATTGACTTTTTATTCTGTTCTTTTTCATGAAACATAGATAAAACAATATGACACATGCTATAGCACTCTTACACACACACATAAACGTAAAGTCACCAAAAAAATAATAATAAGATAACCATGTAAAAAAAGTGTGGTATGATGTATGTAATTGTTTTTAGGATGGAAGATGAGAGTTTCAGTGAACTGCATGAATGATTAAGAGCAAGGTTGGATGAGTAAATTGTGATAGTGACAATGCATATATAAACAATTGTGCCCAGAGATTTCAAAAATCTGAAAAAATTCATGGTGGTATATGGGAGACAGTGAGTTGTACAATATTGCGATATCATGCTGGTATGCAAAATTTATTATAAGATGACACAAGTATAGCAATATAGTTTTGACGCAGGAGATAACATGACTTATCTTTTGTTACTCCTATGATAGTGTTAGACAAACATGATGCGAATCTGAAGAAGAGTTCTTTCGTTTTTATTCTAAATTTCTTGTAGAAGATATAATATGCATGCCAACAGAGCGTACGTCGAACTTGACACTGGAAAAAAAAGACAACACAAATGGTGGCATCATCGTCGGATTAAGATCATCTGTATTTCTTTCATAGTTCTTACAATTTTGATAATTACTCTCTCTCTGTTGCTAAAATTTGTCATTCTTGCTCCGAAGAAGCAACACAGCACTGTCACTACAACACCAGCTGCTGTAACAACAACAATATCGTCACCACGATCTCCGACATCAACGTCAACATCAACAACCACTACCATTCCGAAGTCAGGTAAGTTTTAGTTTTACACTTCTTAATCTCAGTAAATAAGTATTCACTTAACAGCATCTTGCGAAAGGTTACATACGCCATGAGTAATTGGATCTTTGTTACAATAAAACAATGGTATTATCAAGAAATTTGGAAAAATCAGGATAACATTTATTCGAACTTTATTTTATTCGTCGTGAAAGACAAGACAAGTAGAAAAAATGAGGACATGAGAGACAATCTGATCAGAAGTCTAGCTCTTTGAACTCATCAGTAATGTGAAGTTCTCAATAAACTTTGCGAGTTCGATGTTGTCAGTGTAGACACGAGTGTCTGAAATGTCAATGTGTTCCTGAATCTTCAGACTCTTCTGTGCTTTCTTCGTTTATGAGTAGACGTTGAGCTTGAGAAATGGTTGTCGAAAGAGAGACGTCAGAAATCTTAAGAGTGGAAAGTAGAGACATTGAATTCTCAGAAAGATGAGAGTGGAAAAACATTAAACGTGAAAATCATTCGTCATTTGAGTGCGCTAGCTCGAAAAGACAGGTCAAGATTTCGCACACGATGGAATACGACTTGTATATGGACATTGTTTCTGACTGTAAAAATCTGCCAAAAACCTAAAAGGAAACCATCGAAAACTTCAAAGATCCAGTCATGTTTCTCTGTATCTTCGTTCAATAAGGAGTTATATCTGCGCGATTATAACCAGTAGAAGCTGCATACAATTGAAAACCCATTAGTTCCTGTGGATAATTTACGGAGAAGTGGAAATTACACACTTCAGTTATCTTTTATCCGTGCATACGATGTTTTGTCAACAATTCAAACTCTACGATTGTAGCGTACCATGAGTGATTTCTCATTTCTTAGAAGAAATTTCAAAACCTTTCTATAAAAAAGTGAGAAACAACTTTTGTTTTGCAAAATCTAAAACTTTTCGTATATGGTCATAAAATCTTGAGTTTGCCTCAATAAATATTCTCTACGGAAAAAAATACATTCACATGATTCTATCTAGGATGGCTCAATACCGGTAGCATGAATCATGCGCGAAGTGAGCACACAGCATCGTTATTAATGAATGGAATGGTGCTAGTTGCTGGTGGTAACAATGATCATCCTGTAGACAGCGCTGAATTGTATGATCCATCAACAGAAACTTGGACAATTACTGGTAGCATGAATGACACACGATATGGACATACTGCAACTGTATTACCGAATGGAAAAGTATTAGTTACTGGCGGATTTACTGGTGAGGTTTTTCTTAATAGTGCTGAGTTGTATGATCCATCAACAGGAACTTGGACAACTACTGGCAGCATGAATGATGCACGAAATTTTCACGCAGCATCCTTGTTAAAAAATGGAAAAGTATTGATTACTGGTGGGTTTAATGGTACTATTATTGTAAACACTGCTGAACTATATGATCCATCAACAGAAATTTGGACAAATACTGGTAATATGACTGATGCACGAGATGGACACACAGCATCTGTATTAACAAATGGAAAAGTTTTAGTCACTGGCGGATTTAGTAATCACGTTTTTCTGAATACTGCTGAGTTGTA